ACCATATCTGAGTAATTGAAATTTCTCATCGTTGAACTTCATATTGTTTTCTGCAGCCCACTGAAAGATTTGGTTGATGTCCGTCTGGAGCCTTGCAGTGTCTGCAATGGAAGACACTGTCATGCAGATTCGGTGTCATCTGCAAAGGAAGACACGGTGCTGTGGCTGACATCCTTGTCTATGTCGGATATGAGGATGAGGAACAAGATGGGAGCGAGAACTGTGCGTTGTGGAACAGAGCTTTTCACCGTAGCTGCCTCGGACTTTACTCTGTTGACGACTACTCTCTGTGTTCTGTTAGTGAGGAAATTATAGATCCATCGACCGACTTTTCCTGTTATTCCTTTAGCACACATTTTGTGCGCTATTACGCCATGGCCACACTTGTCGAAGGCTTTTGCAAAGTCTGTATATATTACATCTGCATTCTTTTTGTCTTCTAGTGCATTTAGGACCTTGTCGTAGTGATCCAATAGTTGAGACAGACAGGAGCGACCTGTTCTAAACCCATGTTGCCCTGGGTTGTGTAACTGATGGGTTTCTAGATGGGTGGGGATCTTGCTTCTTAGGACCCTTTCAAAGATTTTTATGATATGGGATGTTAGTGCTATTGGTCTGTAGTTCTTTGCTGTTGCTTTACTGCCCCCTTTGTGGAGTGGGGCTATGTCTGTTGTTTTTAGTAACTGTAGGGCGACCCCCGTGTCCATGCTCCCTCTCCATAGGATGGAAAAGGCTCGTGATAGGGGCTTCTTGCAGTTCTTGATGAACACAGAGTTCCATGAGTCTGGCCCTGGGGCAGAGTGCATGGGCATGTCATTTATCGCCTGTTCGAAGTCATTTGGCGTCAGGATAACATCGGATAGGCTTGTGTTAATCAAATTTTGTGGCTCTCTCATAAAAAATTAATTTTGATCTTCGACTCTGTCTGGTTAGCGGCTTGCTAAAAACCGAGTCATATTGGGACTTGAGTAGCTCACTCATTTCCTTGCTGTCATCTGTGTAGGACCCATCTTGTTTAAGTAGGGGCCCAATACTGGACGTTGTTCTCGATTTTGATTTGGCATAGGAGAAGAAATACTTTGGGTTTCTTTCGATTTCATTTATGGCTTTTAGTTCTTCCCGCGATTCCTGAGTCCTAAAGGATTCTTTTAGCTTAAGTTCGATGCTTGCTATTTCTCTGACCAGTGTCTCCCTACGCATTTCAGATATATTGACCTCTTTTAGCCGCTCTGTTATTTCTTTTTCCGTCGCCTGTAAAGGGAGCGCCTGTCTCTTTCTATTTTACATCTACTCCTTCTTTTTCTTAGAGGAATAAGCCTTGTGCATACATCGAGTGCCACCGAGTTAATCTGTTCTAGGCATAAGTTGGGGTCTGTGTTGCTTAGTATATCTTCCCAGCTTATATCGGTTAGGACTTGGTTTACTTGGTCCCACTTTGTTTTTGTTATTGAAGTTGAATTTGGTGAATGCTCCCTCGTGACTAGTCTCATTATGTCGGTCTGGGGCTCCACGCATACATGTCTGAACCTCAATTATGTTGTGATCTGAGTATATTGTTTTTGATATGGTGACATTTCTTATCAGATCATCATTGTTAGTGAGGATGAGGTCTAGTGCATTCTCCAGTCTAGTAGGCTCTATTATTTGCTGGTTTAAATTGAATTTTGTGCAGAGATTTAAAAGCTCGTGTGAGTGTGAGTTTTCATTAGAGCTGCCTCCTGGTGTTATTACTGCAACAATATTATTTGCTATATTCCTCCATTTTAGGTGCCTTAAGTTGAAATCCCCCAGGAGCAAGATGTTGGGTGCAGGAGCTGGAAGATTTTCCAGACAGTGGTCAATTTTTAACAGCTGTTCCTGGAATTGCTGGGATGTTGCATCCGGAGGCTTGTAGACTACCACAATGACTAGGTTTTGGTTCTCGACCTTTACTGCTAAAACTTCCACTACATCATTTGAGGCATTAAGCAGTTCTGTGCAAACAAGTGACTCTGCAATGTACAGGCCAACCCCCCCCCCCCCTTTTGCCTGTTCACTCTGTCACATCTGTATAGGTTGTAACCTGGGATCCATATTTCGTTGTCCAAGTGATCCTTTATGTGGGTCTCAGTGAAAGCCGCGAACATTGCCTTTGCCTTTGCAAGCAGTCCACGGATGAAAGGTATTTTGTTGTTTGTTGCTGGCTTTAGACCCTGTATATTTGCAAAGAAGAATGTTATCGGACTTGTGTATTGTTGGTACTGGGGGGGGGGGATTTTTTTTCCGGCATTAGTATCTGTATCTGTTGGTTTGGAGTGGAGGCCATCGACTGTGGTTCCACTCCAGGAATGACTGGATTTGGTGTACGATTTCTGCTATTTCCTGCCAGTTTTTTTTTCCTTCCTGGCACTAAAAAGCCTCTCCCTCTTGAGTGGCTGTGGCTACCCAGGTTTTCCCATGGCCTGGATGTTTTGTATCTTTTTGTCCCCTTTAGATGGTATGCCTGGCAATTTAAGTTATAGCACAGTCTTTCCTGTACTGAAGAGGTACACAGTTCAGGGTGAAAAAGCTTACAGGAAGGGAGTTTGCATTTTCCTGTTGTCATATGGGCATGGCATTTTCTAGGGTGGTCATAGTTGCACATCCCATCTGTTTTTCCAGATTTCCCATGCCAGCAGATACCAAGTGCATAGTATGTGCACAGGCTTGGTTTCCGTTTGCCTTGGGTTTCTGTGACTGTATTCCCTGTTGGTGCATGTTTCCCTGTCTTACTTCTATCCTCCCTAGCACCAACAATGGAGCTCCCACCAGTTGTTTTTGGTAATATATCCTCACTATTGCTAGTGGAGTCCTCTTGTTTGCTATTTCCTGCGGTATTTCTAGTTTGCAATATTGGTTTTATCTTATCTTTGACTACACTTGTTTCCCTACTATGGCTCCTGTCCCCTATGAGGTCATTTATATGTATTCCTTCCTGCGTATAATTCCCGACTACCTGGACAAAATCTCCAGCTTCACCATTACTGTCTCCCAGGACAGCATCTCCAGCTTCACCATTACTGTCTCCCAGGACAGTACTATCAGCCCCACATTTACTGACTACCAGGACTTCATCTCCAGCCTTACAGTTTCTGACTACATGGCCAGTATCAAGGGCAGTACCATTCAGCCTAGACTTTTTATGTTCCCATCTGTTGTAGAAAGCTTCCAGGTTGTCTATGAAAGCAGCTTTGATGTTGTCCTCTTTTAATACCCTTGTGATTTTAGTCCACAGATTTATCTCATTTGGGCATACCCAAAAACACTTCCCTGTTTTAACACTGCTTGTAGCTAGTTCTTGGATATCTGCACAAGGGGCGTGACACCAATTTCCGCAAAAATGACAATTTACCCATGTGGAAGCCTGTTTGTTTGATTGACCACAGACTACACACAGTTTCATAATGATTTGAATGGTTGATTTACTGCAATTCTACTAGCAACCTCTTGAATATTCTATTAATAACCTCCTTAAATGAAGCTCTAGCTATTTGTATTTCTGTTTCTAACTGTTTTTGTATATTGGACAGCTTACCGTGCACGTTCCTGATTTATATTTAATGTTTGTGTTTATAAGGGCGCCTACAACCCCATCCTTTACCCCCTCTCTCCAAACTTTTCAAGGATGACCCCTACCCCGCCTTCCGTCCCCTACGGATTTATGCACTCTCCATGTCATTCTACTTTGATCCATTCTCTCTAAATGCCCAAACCACCTCAACAACCCCTCTTCAGCCCTCTGACTAATAGTTTTATTAACTCCACACCTTCTCATAATTTCCACACTCCGAATTCTCTGCATAATATTTACACCACACATTGCCCTTAGACAGAACATCTCCACTGCCTACAACCACCTCCTTGCTGCAGCATTTACAACCCAAGTTTCACACCCATATAAGAGTGTTGGTACCACTATACTTTCATACATTCCCTTCTTTACCTCCGTAGATAATGTCTTTTGTCTCCACATATACCTCAGTGCACCACTCAACCTTTTTCCTTCATCAATTCTGTGGTTAACCTCATCCTTCATACATCTATCCGCTGACACGTCAACTTGCAAATATCTGAAATCATTCACTTCTTCCATACTCCTCCTCTCCAATTTGATGTCCAATTTTTCTTTATCTAAATCATTTGATACCCTCATCACCTTATTCTTTTCTATATTCACTTTCAACTTTCTACCTTTACACATACTCCCAAACTCATCCACTAACCTTTGCAACTTTTCTTTAGAATCTCCCATAAGCACAGTATCATCAACAAAAATTAACTGCGCCAATTCCCGTTTTGTATTTGATTCCCCGTAATTTAATCCCACCCCTCTCCCCAACACCCTAGCATTTACTTCTTTTACAACCCCATCTATAAATATATTGAACAACCATGGTGACATCACACATCCCTGTCTAAGACTCACCTTTACCGGGAAGCAGTCTACCTCTCTTCTACACACCCTAACCTGAGCCTCGCTATCCTCATAAAATCTCTTTACAGTATATAGTAACTTATAGTTATTCTATAACTACAGTGGACCCCCGGTTAACGATATTTTTTCACTCCATAAGTATGTTCAGGTGCCAGTACTGACCGAATTTATTCCCATAAGGAATATTGTGAAGTAGATTAGTCCATTTCAGACCCCCAAACATACAAATACAAACGCACTTACATAAATACACTTACATAATTGGTCGCATTTGGAGGTAATCGTTATGCGGGGGTCCACTGTATAGTTATTCTCTATAAAATGTATTTTTTGTTAATATTTTTGGGTGTCTGGAATGGATTAATTTGATTTACATTATTTCTTATGGGAAATATTAACAAAAAATACATTTTATAGAGAATAACTATAGTTTTACATACAGACTAGGGCATACGAAAACTGAGGTCCCACTGTATATGAAATTTTTATGAACGAAAATAAGCTCATAGAAAAAACAGAAAATACTAATTGCATCTTAAATTTTCAGGGTGTTAGCTATGATCACGTTGAGCTAAACTTCTACATTAATGGCAAGCCCACAAATACACCGGTCACAAGCTTCAAGGGTACCGTGTATCCTGCCTTATATGGTTAGTAGCTTTTTTTTTTTTTCCTGTCTTAGTTCCAAACAAGGAAACATTGAAGCCTTTATTAATTGAAGGTAAGGAGTGAATGGAGACAAATGGTTTTTAATACTTGACATGCTGTTGGAGTGTGAGCAAAGTAACATTTATGAAGGGGTTCAGGGAAACCGGCAGGCCGGACTTGAGTCCTGGAGATGGGAAGTACAGTGCCTGCACTCTGAAGGAGGGGTGTTAATATTGCAGTTTAAAAACTGTAGTGTAAAACACCCTTCTGGCAAGACAGTGATGGAGTGAATGATGGTGAAAGTTTTTCTTTTTCGGGCCACCCTGCCTTGGTGGGAATCGGCCAGTGTGATAATAAAAAAAAAAAAAAGTAAATAAATAAAAAAAAAGTAAACAGTCAGTTTAATGGGTTTTTATAATAGGGGAAAGTGGGTGGCTGTAATGTCTTTTGCAGTGGACAAAGATGAGACAGTTTTGCCATGATCATAACAGTTTTGTAACCAACTGAAGTCACTGATTTCAAAGTGGTCGACCCAGCCGATTTTGTCCCACATTTTTGAAGTCCACTAAACTGAGTTTTTTGTTTTTGGACACAATATTTTTTATTTTGGGAAAGTGACATTGCATAGCATTTTGGCCAGAACTAATAATAATTGCACAGCATTTTGGGTAGACTAATAATTATGCTACTAATAATACAATGGGTGTTGTATGTCACTGAGTATGTAGTGATAATTGAAGTGGTCTTCAATTTTTAGAGATTAAAGACTGAATCCACAATGTCCACTTGGCAGTAGTGTAAGTGTGGTATTCATTGCACTACAACCATTCAGGCTCCCACATTGCAGTTTTTTCCTCAGTGATTGTATTGTGTAGTACTTTAAATTGTTTCCATAATCAGATCATGTGTTAACCAGTCCACACTGTATGTGAAGAATAACTGGATGTGTTGATTTTTAACCTGACCTTTGCCTGGCACCATCCTGCTAACATGTTCCCACCCATTTATGAAATTTGCTTATTGACAATTAACTGTCATGTCTCCCTTCCCCTGCCCCCCCCCCCACCACACACACACACACGCGCGTGCACATGCATAAACTGTATGTGGGTTAGATGTCTATTAACCAATGTAATGTAACATAAGTGAACCAGAAATGAAAAAAAATGGATGGCAATGTTTAGAATATAATTTTGTTGAGGGTAGGTTGTAGTTATATATTACTTGGAAAATTGCATTAGACTTTCAGAATGTTTTACACACATTTTTTGGGAGGATTTTCTTTCTTTTTGGGTCACCCTGCCTCGGTGGGAGACGGCCGACTTGTTGGAAAAAAAAAAAAAATTCAAGACCACTTTATGTTATGTAACTTTTGAGTAGATACAGCGTTTTATGACTGTCAAGAAGGAATAATTAAAGAAAACCTTCAAAGGACCAGCATTGTAATTAATGTCTGCAAATTAATTGATGTTCTTTTTTATTTCAGTTGATGATGGTGCTATAATGGATGTCATATTTGAAAACTTCAATCATGGTCCACCTCCTGGCTATGATTCTATCATGGTAGAGAAATCTTTGTTGGAAAATGACTAGTAGAAATTGCTGCTGTAATTTCCTTGTGCATCTCCACTCTATAAATCCCCTGTGACTGTAACATCTGGTGTGTCCTTCCTTTATGAACCAATTACAGATGATCATCAGTTTTGTCATAAATGATTATTGTAGATCTATGTACCATTTTCATACATTATTATCAATTCTATAAGAATCTTAAAATGTTGATCTGGATAATCTGAATATAGAGCCTACTTAAATGTTTAGTTGTTGATTATGATTATAAAATTAATTACATACACACAGGATAATATGTACATTAACAGTACAGTATACTGTAATTTTCCACATGAAAGGGGTAAGTCTTTTTTAAAGATAATTTAAAATTATGCTTCAAACTTAATTTTGTTGAAAGTTTAAGTTTATAGAAAGCTATTAAATACATATCTGTGCCTATAAAATTTGATTGTTGAAGTAGGTTTTTCTTAAAATTATTTAGTGCCATAACTCTATAATGTTGAGGCATTAAATGAACAGACTACAGCACAACCCTTAATGAAGAGTAAGTCATATTACTACAACTAACCCACAATTTGAATAAAAAACTTTTGATGATTCTTCTCCAAATTATGAGATAGTTGCCAACCCTTAATATTTAGAAAATATGTATACATACGGCTTTTTTTTTTTTTCCTCATTTGCCATCTCCAGCCTAGGCAGGGTGACACAAAGAAGGAAACACATTAGTCATCATTTGATGTCTGGCAATAGTATATTTAGTTGTCTAAATAATATATAAATTCTATATATTGGTTTTATTTTGGCTCCCTATAATTTGTGTGAATATAGTATATTATTATATTTAGGGGGAATTGCTAAATCTGTAGGGGTCATACAGCACCTTGGGAATTGGAGGCACTCACTTTTAGTCCAAGGGGAGGACAAGATAAGTTCCTTGAGTCAAGAGCCCTTAACCCCCCCCCCTTTCCTTACTTTCAGTGAATCTTCATTAAGGGGTTTAATGTAAATAACATTTGGAACTAAGTATTAAGAATACAACTGTTCACAGTGTCATTGGTATGTAAGTAGCAATCTGTTACCTAGTGTCACAGCTGAGGAATGTGACGCTGTATAGTCCTTGTGGCTTAGCGCTTCTTTTTGATTATAATAATAATGAGGAATGTGACGGTTGAGCTCGAGTCGCTGATAGGTCACACGCTGACCTGTACGAGCTCACACACCATTCTGTGCATGTGTAATACTGAGTATATGATGCCTTAAATTATGCCCTAGGCATGTGACACCCAGGGTGGTTACAATGTAAGCACAAAGCTCATACGATATGGCTGGGTGACATCAAGACAATCTTGATAGTACCTTGCAGAACACCTGCATTGTCTCAAACCCATCTACAACAACAGTACAACAATTTTTGATTGCTCTAAGAAACCAGCTTGAACATCCAGTAGGCATGTGTGAGCATGATATTATAATCAAAACTAAATGCTAAACTCGCAAGGGTCATACAGCACTGTGCGAGCTTGATAGACAGGAGTGGAGGCAAGTGGCTTTTATGATGTGCTGGAGTGTGAGCAAAGTAACATTTATGAAGGGATTCAGGGAAACTGGTTAAGACTCGAGTCCTGGAGTGCCTGCATTCTAAAGGCAGGGTGGGGATATTACAAGTTGGGTGGGGGGGGGGGGGGCATATGAATTGTATTACCAGAGCACCTCTGGTAAGACGGATGGTGAAGGTATTTTTTTTTTTTGTCTCCATATGTTGGTAGAAGATGGCTGGTGTGTTATAGAAGAAAATAAATAAATTTTTCTTATCACAAGGGCCCCTTAAGGGAGGTTCCTTGACGCTGGTGAGGGGCTCTTGATCTAGGGAATTGGATCTGTGCTCCGGTTCCCTGAATTGAGCCTGAATACCTTCCATCTCCCCCACATGTGCTGTATAATCCTACGGGTTTAGCGCTTCCCTGTGATCATAATAATAATAATAATTATCAGAAGGGTTGAAAAGTTATGAACATTTTATGACATCACAATATAGGACACGCCTTATTTTGTAGTCAGTCTTCAAATTTTACATTACATTTTTAAATTTGAATTGGTTGTTTCAAAATGTTCATTATACCTGAGCATTTATGCTGGAAAATTGCAGTATTTTTTAAGTTGGAATTCATGCAAGCTTTAACAATTAATAACTATAGATTTAATATTCTTTGCTTAAGGTTCTTCAAAATATAATATTTTTATATACAATTGATTTCCAAATAATATTTTCATATTAAATTTTTTTGAAAATGTACATTGTTGATGTTTACAGTACTGTATATCCACTAACCATATACTGTATTGTAACATTTACCATATCACAAAGAAACTTGAGTTTCATGTGCATACAAATTTATTAAATATTGATATCTATGAACTAAGTGGTACATTATATTTTTTATTACAGTACATACACGAGTCTTCTTCCTAAATTATGTACTAAAAGATGTAAGTCTGTCTCAATATGCATATTCTTACAGTTTTATCTGTTGTGCATTGTATATTTATTCATATCTACAAAAATCTAACGAGTTCTCCTTCATTCTCTGTAAATTTATAAAACCTGGGCGCGATACTTTAATTTGGTTGGTAAGTGCTGTCATCAGTAATATTCTCAAGCAGTATATGGTAGTTGAAGGCGGCTTATACATGATTCAATAACTTTGTAATTTTGCAGGAAAACATAACATTTGTACAGTATACAAAAAATTTAGGTAAACATTGCATGTTGCTTGCAAATACAGAAACGTGTACCGTATGGTATAGATCTGTGCATGTGGTCTTAAACAGTGTTTTATCAACTTGTTGGCCACCCACTTACTACATATGCAGGTATCTTATAAAATAATATAGCTCTGGCATTAGTAGAAATTTTTGCAATATTTCTTTCTTTTCAGAATATGAAAAAACAAAACAAATATTCACTGTAGATGTATGTGTTTATAAGAAATATGCAGGATATGATAAGTAATATGACCTCAAAATAGTTTGTTATACTGTGGTACTTGCTGCTTCTATATCAGCTATGACATCTAAACGAGTCATTGAATCTGCTGTTATGAATGATATTAATATTGTAACATTACATACTATATTATATATGCGAACAATATACTGTACTGTAAAGAACTTGTATTCTTTGTTACACCCTTTTGATATATCTCTTAAGTGGGGTTGGTGTTTTTTTGGTTAATATACTGTAATAATAAAAAACCCCTTTAAAATTATTTTTAAAAGTTGGTTGAAAATTATTCATTAAAGCTTTAAAAATCGTAACTTCATTGCTCACTTCTCTCTTAGTGTAACAAAGGTAATATATAACTATGTGTAGTCAAAATTCTTTGTGGTGGTTTGTAATTTTTTTATGAATTACTGGCAATAAGAATTCTTGATTATATGTAATACAGTGGTACCTTGACTTACGAGTGCCCCAAGTTACGAGTTTTCCAAGTTATGAGCTGTCGCTCGATTGATTTTTTTGCTTTGAGTTGTGAGCCAAAATCCAAGTTATGAGTAAGCTTCAGATACGCTGGCACTCGCAGGAGATACGAGGTAATATCAAAAACCTCGATAATAACCAATGTGTAACATCCTTTCAATTTTGATACGACTGGTAATGTCATCCTGCCAGAATGTTCTATAACTTATGCCCTAAGTAAAGAGAAACAATTCTGGAACGTGTAATACGTATTTGGCAGGCTGGCTGATTTGCTTTGGCTGTCTCTTATCTCCTGTCTGTCTGTATCTATGTCTGTGTCTCTGTCTATCTCTGTCTTTATCTCACAGGTACACATAAATACAGTTATACATAGTGTAAATTACCTAGGATAATGCAAAAAATCAGACAAACTGCTATACTATGCTTGTAGATACATGTATAAGGCATAATAAGCATGACTGGCAAGCAATACACATTTTCACTTCTTCAGGAATCAGACGTGATGACTCTGCATCGTGTGCAATACCTGTTGGTTCATGAGTGGCTCTCTCTGAAATAGGAAGACAGAAACACTGGCAGACAGAAAAACAGATAAGCAGAGACAGAAATAAACAGAGCTAGACAGACAGATAGACATATTTATGTGTAACCGTGAAAAATAAAGCCAAGGCAGTGCACGACCATCAAATGTCAGCAGTGGAGTGATACTCATCTTACACTGTGCTTCAAGGAGTTTCATATATACTCCAGCATTTCTAAAACATTGCTGGGACCTGGCATAAAAGGCAAAAAATAATTTCACATTTATTAATAAATACATTTTTATTTAAAACCCTGTAACAAAAATTGGGGTGGCTGGAACAGATTAATGGCATTTCAATTAATTTCAATGAGGAAAATTGATTTGATACACGAGCAAATCGAGTTACGAGCTCAGTCACGGAACGAATTCAACTCGTAAATCAAGGTACCACTGTACTAATAGTGTATAAATACAACACACAAAGACAGTCTAGTGCGAAGAGCATTTTTGTTGGGGATGAGCTTTATCAAGAGTGTGGAAGGAACACTAAAATATGTATGGCACAAGTTTATACACTATATTCCACAACAGTGAAAGAGGGAGAGGAAGGAGGGGGAAAGATGGAGGAAGGCTGATAAGCTGAGGTACACAAGTAACTGATCATCATTGCATCACTTTTAATAATCTGGCTCCATTCACTAATGATTCTGCATGTGGAGTGACAATAAATGACCCTTTATTATTATACCTAGGAGGAAATGCTAAATTCATAGGGGTTATACAGCCCCTAAGAAATGGGAGACAATCAGGCTTGATTCAAGGGAAGGAAATATACAATGCCTTGAAATGAGCTCATTATCAACATCAAGAAATTTCCCTTAAGGGAAATAAATGCCTATTTGTTCTATAGTACTGAAAATGTAAATTACTTTATTTTTTGTTTTTAAATTCAGGGGAAGCACTAAAACCATAAGGGGTCATGTAGCTCCCGGTAAATGGGAAGTATTCAAGTTTGATCTAAGGAAGTGCCGCAGGATCTTGGAATCATCACTCGTCTGTGTATCTAGCAATTTCAACCAGAACAATGGTTTTTACAACATAGGGTTGTGAATGCAGCAGCGAGGAGGTGGTTGGAGGCAGTGGAGATGTCCTGTTTAAGTGCAATGTGTGGTGTAAATATTATGAAGAAAATTTGGAGTGTGGAAATTAGGAGAAGGTGTGGAGTTAATAAAAGTATAAGTCAGAGGGCTGAAGAGAGGTTGTTGAGGTGGTTTGGTCATTTAGAGAGAATGGATCAAAGTAGAATGACATGGAGAGCATTTAAATCTGCAGGAGAAGGAAGGCAGGGTAGGGGTCATCCTCGAAAAGGTTGGAAGGAAGGGGTAAGGGAGGTTTTGTGGGCGAGGGGCTTGGACTTCCAGCAGGCGTGCATGAGCATGTTCGATAGGAGTGAATGGAGACGAATGGTATTTGGGACCTGATGATCTGTTGGAGTGTGAGCAGGGTAATATTTAGTGAAGGGATTCAGAGAAACCGGTTATTTTTATATAGCTGGACTTGAGTCCTGGAAATGGGAAGTACAATGCCTGCACTCAGAGGGGTTCGGGATATTAGCGGTTTGGAGGGATATGTTGTGTATCTTTATACGTATATGCTTCTAAACTGTTGTGTTCTGAGCACCTCTGCAAAAACAGTGATTATGTGTGAGTGAGGTGAAAGTGTTGAATGATGATGAAAGTATTTTCTTTTTGGGGATTTTCTTTCTTTTTGGGTGACCCTGCCTCGGTGGGAGACGGCCGACTTGTTGGAAAAAAAAAAAGGTGAGCTTGCCAGGAAACTCCGTTATCCTACATAATACCTATGTGACTATCTCCTGCAGATCTGTTTCAAATCCAACCTACCCAACATTCTCCACCTGACTCTCCACCCTATATATCCTCTTGTACCCTTTGCCTAAGTAGGTACGTATGTTTGTGACTTATAAAGCCCACAGTGTGGGTGAAACATAGTCAATAAAGGATTGCATTATACTGCATTTATATCTATTTTTCGAGCATCATAGCACCTCCCTGGAGAGGAAAAGAATGATGAAAATAATAATAATATCCTCTTAAACATTTTTCTCTGCATGACTTCCCCTTCAGTAACTAATTTTCACACCGATTTTAATCATGAAATAATTTTTTATTACAAGTTATTACTGTATAATCCTCCGGGTTTAGCCTTCCTTGATTAATATAAAAGTTATTAACATGAGGATTTAAGAATACACACATGCTTGACAAATGGAAAACAGTAACACTGTGTATACATCACATGGCTTACAAGTTAGTCATTAATAATAATATTTTTTTTATTAACACATCGGCCAATTCCCACAAGGCAGGGTGGCCTGAAAAAGAAAAACTTTCATCATCATTCACTCCATCACTGTCTTGCCAGAGGGTGCTTTACACTACAGTTATAAAACTGCAACATTAACACCCCTCCTTCAGAGTGCAGACACCATACTTCCCATCTCCAGGACTCAAGTCCGGCCTGCCGGTTTCCCTGAATCCTTTCATAAATGTTACTTTGCTCACACTCCAACAGCACGTCAAGTATTAAAAACCATTTGTCTTCATTCACTCCTATCAAATACGCTCATGCACGCTTGCTGGAAGTCCAAGCCCCTCGCACACAAAACCACCTTTACCCCCTCCCTCCAACCCTTCCTAGGCCGACCCCTACCCCGCCCTCCCTCCACTACAGATTTATACAATCTCGAAGTCATTCTGTTTTGTTCCATTCTCTCTACATGTCCGAACCACCTCAACAACCCCTCCTCAGCCCTCTGGATAATAGTTTTGGTAATCCTAACTTCCAAACTGCGAATTCTCTGCATTATATTCACACCACACATTGCCCTCAGACATGACATCTCCACTGCCTTCAGCCTTCTCCTCATTGCAACATTCATCACCCATGCTTCACACCCATACAAGAGTGTTGGTAAAACTATACTCTCATACATTCCCCTCTGCTTCCACGGACAAAGTTCTCTGTCTCCACAGACTCCTAAGTGCACCACTCACCCTTTTCCCCTCATCAATTCTGTGATTCACCTCGTCCTTCATACACCCATCTGCTGACACGTCCATTCCTAAATATCTGAATACATTCACCTCCTCCATACTCTCTCCCTCCAATCTGATATCCAATCTTTTGTCACCTAATCTTTTTGTTATCCACATAACCTTACTCTTTCCTATATTCACTTTTAATTTTCTTCTTTTACATTTTTTTTTTCAACAAGTTGGCCGTCTCCCACTGAGGCAGGGTGACCCAAAAAAAGAAAGAAAATCCCCAAAAAGAAAATGCTTTCATCATCATTCAACACTTTCACCACACTCACACATAATCACTGTTTTTGCAGAGGTGCTCAGAATACAACAGTTTAGAACCATACACATATAAAGATACACAACATATCCCTCCAAACTGCCAATATCCCAAACCCCTCCATTAAAGTGCAGGCATTGTACTTCCCATTTCCAGGACTCAATTCCGACTATATGAAAATAACCGGTTTCCCTGAATCCCTTCACTAAATATTACCCTGCTCACACTCCAACAGATCGTCAGGTCCCAATTACCATTCGTCTCCATTCACTCCTATCTAACACGCTCACGCGCACTTGCTGGAAGTCCAAGCCCCTTGCCCACAAAACCTCCTTTACCCCCTCTCTCCAACCCTTTCGAGGACGACCCCTACCTCGCCTTCCTTCCCCTATAGATTTATATGCTTTCCATGTCATTCTACTTTGATCCATTCTCTCTAAATGACCAAACCACCTCAACAACCCCTCTTCTGCCCTCTGACTAATACTTTTATTAACTCCACACCTTTTCCTAATTTCCACACTCCGAATTTTCTGCATAATATTTACACCACACATTGCCCTTAGACAGGACATCTCCAATGCCTCCAACAGTCTCCTAGCTGCTGCATTTACCACCCAAGCTTCACACCCATATAAGAGTGTTGGTACTACTATACTTTCATACATTCCCTTCTTTGCCTCCATAGATAACGTTTTTTTGACTCCACATATACCTCATTGCACCACTCACCTTTTTTCCTTCATCAATTCTATGATTAACCTCATGCTTCATAAATCCATCCGC